TGTTAGAAAGCTGAATGGCTACGCTTTTAAAATGAATGTAAACTTTAACGTTTTCGTCTATTATTTGTTTAGCAATTTACATTTCAGTCGAGGATTGCGTTTTTTTTTATACACCCTGTATATATATATATATATATATATATATATATATATATATATATATATATATATATATATATATATATATATATATATATATATATATATATATATATATACATATAAACAAATAAAACAAAACAAACATCCCAACCTTGAGGATTTTTAGCGTATTATTGACAGCCAGTACTTTGGCAAGACAGCCTGCTCCGGTACATGATATACGGTTGTTGCTAAACGTAAATATGTAATAAAAGGTTATAATTTATTTTAAATCAAAATGGTTCATCGACGCATTGCTTATTAACTCTTAGTTCTGTATTCAACGTCAGAAACATCCAAGTTGAATGTTTATGGCGTTGAATATCAAAGTCATAAACATCGAAGTAGAATGTTTATGCCGAAGATATTCAACATCACAAATATCTAAGTTGAATGTTTATGACGTTGAATATCGACGTCATAAACACATAATTTGAATGTTTACGACGTTGAATATCAACGTCAAAAACATCTAAGCTGAATGTTTATAACGTTGAATATCGACCAAAGTTGCTGGTGTTTATGACGTCGATATTCGACGTCATCAACACCAAACTTGCTCGTGTTTAACACCAAAGTTGCTGGTGTTTATGACGTCGAATATCGACGTCATCAACACCAAAGTTGCTGGTGTTTATGACGTCGAATATCGACGTCATCAACACCAAAGTTGCTGGTGTTAATGACGTCGAATATCGACGTCATAAACACCAAACTTGCTCGTGTTTATGACGTCGGATATCGACGTCATAAACACCAAACTTGCTCGTGTTTATGACGTCGGATATCGACCTCATAAACACCAAACTTGCTCGTGTTTATGACGTCGGATATCGACGTCATAAACACCAAACTTGCTCGTGTTTATGACGTCGAATATCGACGTCATAAACACCAAACTTGCTCGTGTTTATGACGTCGAATATCGACGTCATAAACACCAAAGTTG